AACAGGGACATTGTTGTTGGGAATATGACCATATATTCTAAACCGGTAAATTATTGTTATTGCAATCGGATTGTTATTCACATTTCAATCATAAGGCTTTTATTTTAAGAAATCAGTGCAATAAAATTTTACTTCATATCAGAGCATAGAGGAGTATTACGCTGTTTACTTTATTCCTTAAATCTTACAATAGTGAACACCTATCCACCATTTAAACAATTCAGGATCTTTAAAATCATTTTAAGAAGTTATACTGGTTTTGTATTTAGTTTGTGTGTAAGTTATACACTTACTTTTAATATACAAATCAGGTTTTAAAGATAATGTTGATTTAAATAATATTTTCAGTGACATCCGCGACACCGCAGAAAACTGTATGACACCAAGGAGAATTTTTTTTTATTCTTTTCAACAACTCCTAAATGATGTTGTAATCTTGTTTTTAACTGATTAAACCATATGTATCATCTACTGTTTTTGTACCTTTGTGTGGCCCTCAACCATAATACTTTCTCTGAAAACGACAAAGGCAAAGATTTGTTTGGCATGAATAGAACATTTATTTAAAACTCGACTTCAGCTGCCCCAACCGATGGCCAGGTCTGAAATGTAATTTCACAATTAATATATACGCTTGTAGCAGAATGTATATTTTTCTCAGACTTCCCGTCGGGCAGTTTTGCAACAACGTTTAGGCTGCAGATTGTTTTGTATAGTTTTGTTTTATTTATATAATATTATATAGATCTATATGTATATATAAAGTTCTATCGGATTATGTGGATCTGTGGCGGGCGCACGGACGAACCGTGTGAAGACATGCATATTGAAAAAAAACTGGACTTGAACGCCATAGTGTACTAATTTTTAAAGCATTTATTATCTAAATAAAAGATTAGAAAAATAATGTGTGTGGGTTTTTTAAAAATAAGTTTTATTTCCAACCTCAACGTTTTAATTAATATTAAGTAGGTTAAACAGAGTCAAAGAAATATTTCACCCTTCACAAAAATTTTAAAAGAGTACAAATAACTCTACTTTATTCCTTTATTGCCAAATCCTTCCCTTGCCAATTTATTCCCTTAAAAAAAAACATTACATATTTGGGGAAAAATACTTTTTATTAGTTTGTTTTAGTGTTGGAAAAAAAATTATATAACTATCATGGATTGGTAAAGTGCAATGTGGTAGGTAAAACACGGATATTTTTAAACACTGCATTTTTTTTTTATACACTGAACGTACAGTTTAGAAGCCGCTTCTAAATGTCCCCTATATTTACTTCTATCTTTTGGTTTGCGCACAAGCTTGGGATATTATAGTCTTTTACTAAATTAAATCATACACGTATGCCGGCACACCGGTAGGTTTCGATTTGGCGCTCCGGCCTTCCAGTGAGCACTCTGGCGCATTTGTTCGTTTTAAACAGGGACTATGAATAAGATTGGGTTTTATAGTCATTTACTAAATTAAATGAGGTAGTTCCACCGGCGCACCGCAGGTGTGATTTGGCACCCAGGCTATACTGAGCACTATTTTATGATTTTTTATTTAAGTTTGTGTTTATATTATGCGTTATTGTTTGCTCTTAGATTTGCGTTTGTGTTTGTGTTTGTTTGCGTTGTGTTTGTGTTTTTGCTTTCGTTAGTGCTTGCGTTTGCGTATGTGTTTGTTTTTGTAATTGTATAAGTGTTTGCATTTTTGTTTATGTTTACGTTTGTGTTTGTGTTCGCTTTTTTGTTTGCGGTTATGTTTGAGTTATTGTTTTCGTTTGCGTTTTCTGTTGGTTGTTTTTTTTGCGTTCGCTAATGTATTTGCGTGTAATTTTTTTAATGCAACTACAATTGTGTATTTTAAAATTAAAAATAAATAACATTTTAATTATTTGCTTATTTCTCAATGAACATAAAATTTGTATGATATATGAATGATAAGATCTATATGAATTTCAACAGTATCAAAAAGTGTATATTTTAGAATGTGACCAATTTTCGATTTAATCTAGATCTAAATTTCTTACTCATTAAATATAATTATATTTGTTTTACTTCTAAAATATATTAGCTGCTTAAATGCTATGGATAAATACCTGTAGACTAGTCGTGTAACAAATTTCATAATTGTGTTATATTTACTAAGCTCTACGTCATTAGCCTCCCAACATTCGCTTCTCTGTATTTCCATAGAATCAGCTTCTCTCGTCAGTTCTCCCCATGTTATTTAACCTCTTGAAGAAATTTTACATCCTACTGTCAACGAAAGAAAATTGTCATTTCATATAATAATAAAAAATAATTTTAATAATACGATACAAAAGGCAATAAATTATAGAGCGCCGAAAAGGAGAAACGGCAAAGTATAGAATAAGTAAATCATATAGAAGATATTCTAAAACTATGGTATTAAAGTATGTTTCATAAGGTAAAGGTAGGACAAATTACTGGTCTGTCTGAATGTCCCAAATGAGGACCGATTATGGTTAGGGTGAGACTCGTGATCAACACTCGTTGAAAGAGCGTCAGTAGTTGCAGAATTTGATCATACTTATAATTCAAACCATTACGTGGCCTTTCGATTAGTGTTTTTGCTTATTGTTTTGATTACGCTTAGAGTTTACTAGAAACCGGCAAGATGGTAATGATGAAGCGCGAGGTTATACTTGTGGAGGGGGACTGGAGATATACAGTCGGTGTTTGGCCGAGCGGTAATATTCTGCTTCGACATATTGACCAAGACTACACATTTTATATTTAATTGAGAAACCAATGGTTAATAACAAAATTATAAGCTTTATTTGGATTTATGAAACATTATCTGTCAATGCAAACTCAAATTCAATATTTTTAATGAATACAAGACTACCCGTTATCCTTAAATAACTTTGGGTATCGGGGTCATCCATAAATGATATCACGTCTGTCGCTTATCGTCACAAACAAACAAGAAGCCACATTTAAAAAGACGTCACAACTTGGACCGTCACAACTCAGACGTTTTTGTCTTTAACAACAGCAATTTTGGCTAAGCATGGGTCTGACCTTATGGGCAACTTTATTTATATTAAATTCATATTCATTCACATATTTAAAAAATTGAATAAAAATATTAACATCGGCGTGATGTGTCTCGAACCGTACCACCCGCATGGTAACTATTACACTATCATCTCAGTTATCTAGGCACTTCTGATTAGATTAAAAAATGTGTGTGATAGTAGAGAGTCCGCCTAGCTAAGAAACTTCAGTTACGCGAATAGGCCCATTCTTTCAAATTAAATTATATCCCATATTAGCCAATTCTATAGCTAAGCAAACAAAGATGTATATAAAATAATTCCGTAGCTCTAGATCTAGAACCTATATAGATACATCCCATGTATTATCGAATTAGATGATCATTGAAGCTAAAAAGAATGATTTATATGACATATTTAAGGACTAACAGAGTTTTATGAAGAAACTCAAAAATTTGGTGTGATTTTATAATGGTTTGTATTTTTAAATAATTAATGTTGTTTTGACCTACATTCCAGATTTTAAATCTAGGATTGGCTTTCCATTCCTCCGACAGATGATCTCTAGATCTAGAGATATGTATTGTATACTCAAATTAGAAGAACTGTTGAAAATTGATAATAGTGTTGGAACCTAATAAAAATAACAAACGAACGTATCGTTAAAGCTATAGCCGACAGACAATTAGCTTTATAACGCGTTAAACTTTTGAAGGGGCAAAAAAAGCTTAGATGGAAGTTGCCATTATTGTCATCAAAAGAAATAAATCATGTGTCGTCACTATAAGTAAATTCATTGTTCTGAACTTTTATCATTAATGAATATTTTAATAAATTAATTAACGTCTTTAAATAAATCTGTAATTAACAGTTTGGTCAAAAAGAACATTATTCTCTACCTAAATAAGTATTTTACAGCTCTACACATAGTGCAGATTCTGTCATGTAACCAAGCAGAAAACAATCAATCAAACAAACAAACAAATGAATAAACAAACTCGTAAACAAACTTGGGTTTTCGTAGTATATAGATATATGGATAGATTTCTAAGGCAAAACGATAACTTGAGTACGAAAATTTTCAAGTACATAAAATGTCTCATATTTAGATTTCTTCAAATTTTTTTGTTGGCCTTCGATATACAGAATAGTAAATACTCCACGTCCGTTTTTTCTTATTTTCCCTGTAATAATACAACAATTATAATTAGCCTCTATTTGGGTGTTTTTCTTTTGTGTTATTATGTTTGTCATAATGCCTTTTTACATGTTTACACACTCGTAATGTTAGACACATTATTTGGATAGTAATTTTCTGGCGTCTCATTTTTATTTGTCAGACTTATTTTATATGCGGTATTTTTGTTTCTCTAATATCAATGACTTCATTTTTTGTGAACTTTTCTGGCATCTTACTTTCTAATTTACTTTATTTGCTCTTTTTCCTCAACATTTCATATGACGTCAGAGCGTCATAAATTCTTATGTTTTGGGTTAATGTGTTCTAATACAGGAAGTGCCGAAACCTATAATGATAAAATTGTCAGTCCAAGTCAAGTCGAGTGTGGTAAAGCTTTTACTGTGACATGTGATGCGCCACGTGCTGGTGTCCCGGTTGATGTCAAAACTCTGACAATGTTATATATTAAACAAATTTTTGGGGCAGAAACAAAAATTGTGGCACATTATAGGTTATTTGTTAGTCCATACATAAAGGAAGTAAGATTTTTCTTTTTATATCAACGTTTATATCAGAGATTAACATTCAATTTAATACTAAATTAATAATAATTTTAATCTTGCATTTTAAGGCTTGTTGCTACATATAGAATAAATAATACATTTGGCATTTGATAGCCCCTTGTTGGAAATATTATTAGACCTCCACATCAATTAGTTCTCCATCTAAAGAAAACGTATGGAAAACTTGCAAAAACGTATTTTTAAAATTATGTATTTGTAAAATTAGTAGATTTAACATAATAGATCGATATACTGGATGAAAGGATTGATTAGTAGAGGTTTTGACGGATGGTCAAATGGAATGAAATAAGTTAGATGGAATAGGTTTGATTGATTGATGTGGAGTTAAATGGTGTGGGCTTGACTGAAATGTCTTGGATAATGTTGTGATTTAATGGGATTCATCACACAGGATTGGGTTCAACAAAATACGATTGAAATAAAATGGAAATAAATTAAGAAGAATATAAAGAATGGAATGTGATTGAAATCGAATTAGACTTAATCGGATGGGATTTAGAGTGGGTTGAGACCAGAGACCAGAGTTTCTTCCGGGCATCTCTTTGGGGGGGGGGGGGGGGGCAGATTCCACCCCTCCCATCGAAAAGGGTCTACCGAACGAAATGTAATTTATACAGAAAACATAATCTTACTAGTGTCCTTCAACACCCCCCCCCCCCGCCTCGAAAATATCAAGTGCCTCCCCCCCCCCCCCCCCTCCGGAGAAAATAGTCCGGAAGAAACACTGGTTGAGGCAGAAAAGGATGTGCGCGGTGGGATTGTTGCATATGATGTTTACTCTTTTTATGAAAATCTTTAAATCTTAGAACACATCGCCCCTTCATTTTGAGAACTGGAGGTTTAATTTCTCTGGGAGCTTGCCAGTAGCAAATGCTGCCGAAAGACCAGACAACAGGAACTCAATGAAAATTGAAATAGTTGCCCCTCAGTCCAAACGTATTGATGCTGGGAAGTACGTATGCTTTGCTGTGTACTTGGTGAACGATAACGAGGTTAATACGGAAAGGTACCAGTATCTTACAGTGACAGGTGAGTTCAGACTCAAAAATGACATTTAACATTCCCCACGATTAAAATGAAACATATTCAATAAAATTCAGATAAGTTCGCATGATGAGTCGTACAGCCATCACGGCGATTTTAATTTGTATGCGTCTTGGCATTTACAATGTATTGTTTGTACATTATGTTTAAATCTGCTAGATGCATACAATGTCAGCAACGTATTCAATTTTTTTGATGAATTTGAAAAATCGTCCTATAGTTTATAGATGAATATTCTTAGTAATTTATTTTAACTTAACTTATTTAGGTCATATAAAATGAGACAACGCAGAATAACCCATGCTTATCATATAGATAGGCCAAATCAAAACGTTTTTATTGTACGCAACGTACACATTTAAAGAGACTGTGATTGTTTGTCTTAATTTATTTATAACTCAAACTTCATTTTTGACATTTTAAAATATTTACACAGTTCGAAACGGCACGTTGTTCAATTTTATGCCTCTGAATGACTATGAACTGGGACCATATGAGGCATTCTATCCCGCACCTTCCAAAGTCAAACTAATTTGCAGTCTTGAAACAGTAATGTAATATTTTCAACAGTTTTTTAGACAAAATACATGTAAGCCCAGACAGGAGGGATAACTAATATCTAACTTTCTAGGCTTATGTATCAAACTGTCCGGTCAGTGCAAGTCCGACTAAACCCAGACTGGTTAAACTCTAACCTTAGTCTAGATAAAAAAAAAAACAACAAAAAAACAAATAAGCGTATCAATTTTATTTACATTTAAAAAATGAAACCATCAATAAAAAACGTAAACATTAAATCAAATTCCAAACATCCTAAACAAACGTATAAAGATACACTAAATAAACAAAACACAACTAACGATGGAATATTATAAACCTTCGATGCCTCGGGTAGTCTAGATCTCTGACCGACAGAAAACCTTCCTATCCCCTTCGGCAATCGAAAACTTATCAAATTTCCACACATGTCATGCTAACACAACATTGAACCAAACACTAAACAACCAAAGCATCCAAAACAAAACATACAAAACAATTCATAAAAAACAATCCTAACAAAACAATACTTAGAAAACACCCAGCCAAGTTGCAAAAGCAACCTCGCTCGAAAGGGGGGAAAAAGAAAAAAACAAATCAAAATGCATGGAAAATATATAGATAAAAATAATCAAATGTTTAAATACTAATAAAGAGAACTAGCTAAAGCCTCGAGTAAAATACTAATCCTTACTAACACTAACACTATTCTGAAATACTAAATTAATTCTTAAAACACACCAAACTACTGTCTTACCAAGAACGCCATTGAACCCAACAGGGTTAAATAAGCTATTCACACAACATCCATGTTGGCAACACCCCGCTAAGGCCACAATAAAGACAGACACAAAGCAAGTGACCCCAACATGACGTGGCAAAAAAACATCACAAACATTATATATTAGATCTAATTACTATCTAAGACAACCACAAAAAAAAAAAAAAATAGCGACTAAGCCAAACTTTCATTGTCGCGAACTCACAATAACAATTTAAATAATCTAGTAAAATGCTATCAAAACACTCACGTTTACAGAAGTTTAGGAAACCAACCTAACCGTCCAACTAAACCACGTAGCCTAAAATTACAAGAACGTCACAGGTTCAAGTCACAGGTTCAAAAAATAAAAAAAAAATACATTTTAAATCACCAAAAAGAACACACTACGTGTGTACCAGGCCGCTTTCATATTCTAAACATAAAAATAAAACAATGTGAAAAAACAAATATGCCTCATCACGACCTACATTAATGACTCTTTTTTGAGTAAAACAGAGCTGAAAATCCCGCGTTACCGGCTTATATAGTCAGTAAGCGGAAATGACATTCTCAAAGATTCCTCACAAAATAATTAATATATTAATTAACAAATTCCAAAGCGGTTTGATGAAAACTAACGGCGAATTTCTAGCGCCTTATATAAGCATACTATAGAAACTAATTCTTTTCTACGACCCCCTCCACCCCGATAAATCGTGAGGTTGTAAACCAATTCTTATGAGTGCAAGAAAAAAATATTTCAGTTCTTGAAAAAAAATAATAAAAGAAATCAAAGCTGACCAAAATCCAAACATCTTTGTATATACTGGTATGATGTGATAAGTTCTATGGCCCAGCAGTCTTCATGCATTTAATATTAGTTGTGTACACATCCCCAAGTATTATTAAATCGGTTAGATAATACGTGTAACTGAAATAGAAGAAAATTTCTTGTATTTAAATGAAGATAATATTCATTGTAAATTTAAAATGTTAGTGTTAACGTAGTAATAGTGTACACATTTTTGTTTGTTTTATTGCATGTAAAGGGTAAGGTTTTAGGCATACATTTTTTTTTCAAACCTAAACGAAAATAAAAAAAATGCCATTAACGCATCAACGCAATGTACCAATTCTATTTTTGCAAGTGATTAGTTATTTGGAATTGCAGTTAAATTTTTAAAATTTTGAGAGTAATGTCATATAAATAATATTCTATGTGTCTGTCTATTAAACACTTTTATATGTATGATAATTATGTAGGATTTCATGACTTTTTTACACACATCAGTTTTTCATTAAATTTACGAAATAAAAGTATAATATAGAAATAAGTACTATTTATGTAGATAGTTATTTCCTTTTAAAATTAAAATAAATCTTTTATTATTACAGCAATTAAAAGACGTAACCTTTCGATGGATGTTTGGTAGCAGATTGAGTAGCTTTAATAGCTTTCAGCATTATTCTATACACAAAGATGTATCGTTTTCCGGGCCTGTAAAGTTTAATGTAGGAACAGACTGTTTTTACAAACTACATTCGTCCACATTGACGGTTACAACAGAAGAGAAGTATGACGGCTACATGTATGTGTGTGTGGCTACAGAAAACAACAAAGATACACTAGTTGGCAATTTGACAATATATACTGTATTAGGTACAATTATGCTACTTTTGTTTAATTATAATTTAATACCATTGTATTTTAAAGAATGCAAATAAATTATGGGGTTCACAAAATTAAGTAAAAATCAGGTTAAGGTAGCTGAATTATTAGTGGCATAGAACCGAAATGGTTACCTTCGTAAATAGTGGGTAAACCAATTCGTTTCTTTTTTTCTGACGATTTGGACATTTTAAAGGGTATGAATGACTGCAGTTTTAAGTTTTATTCTCTGCTTTAAAACGGCATTATATGTTATTAAACATTTATTTGCTATCAAACGCATGATTTTAAAAATATTTTCCCTATGTACTTTAGTAAATAATTTTTATCTCTAAATAAATTTGTGTTTAGGGGTTACAGTGCTTGGAATTTGAAATGGGTTTTTTTTGCTTTGCCTTTGTTCGAGTTGGGAAAATGGACAAATGTTAACATATTACTTACATTTTATTTAATATTACATGTATTAATCCTTGTAAGTACAGCGTATATAAAGTTCTGATTACTAGTGCACATTTACAAGGAATTTAGTCAGTTTAGTTTACATCATCATATTCCCTCGTACGGAAATATTTTGTGACTTATGACAAAACATTTCTGTTATTATTGGAACTTTTTTTTACATTAGGTTTTCTTTAGTATGGTTAATTAATTGTTTTGGTTAAGCAAATTAGATATATAACTCAACTAATTTTATTATACATTTGATAAACGTGTATCTTTCATTTTATTCACAAAATTTAACAATCATTCGTAGGTTAATATTTCAAAATTTTAACAGATACTTTGTTTATGGTACTTTGTACCAATGCGTTTATGAAACTCAGTTCTATTTTAATATGTTAACATTAACAATAAAAAACTTGTTTTTATTACAAAAATTAATAATTGATTATATTGGTAGCCAGGAAACTAGCAAAAACAAAAGCGAAAATATTTTGAACATAAAAGAGGTTCACGTTGGAGGATCTTTCAAAGTGACATGTGACGCATCACGTGCTGTCGTTCCGTCATTTGTTAAATCTATTATGTCGTTGTACATTGCCTGGACTAATGGGACCAACAAACCATTAACATTAGCTAGATACAGAGCGTACTTGCGTCCTTTCGAAATAAAAGTACGTATCTTATAAAACCTTTTACTAGGTGTTGCTATAATATGCTACACTTAATACAATTTTAATAACGTATTTCATACATGAGTAGGCTATCTATATATCAAAATAAAACTTTATATTTTACTCTAATTGTTTAAGTTTACACCCACCCATACTACCCGTTCGCCCACTCCATACATACTACCACCCGCCAATCTACACATATCCCCTCCCGCTCACTTACACAACCATCAATCCACCCACACTTCTATTAATTTATCCATACTCCTGCTCGCCTTCTCTGTAAACCAAACGATCGACCGGTCTACCCACCCACTAATATGGATTTATATTTGTCTTTCTGTATATGATTGTGCTTACGAATCTTTAACATCGTATTTTATTAAACATACTATATGTTAATCAAGGCGATTTATAATGTTTAGTCATGACATCTGTTCATTTGTTTTCTAGTCTCCACCAGATGTTTTACCCCCAAGGAACTGGACATTTCTTTTTGTAGGCAACTTACAAGGAACAGCAGTTTATCCAAACAACAGAAACACAATGAAACTGGAAATAACGGTCAATGATGCTACGTGTTCTGATGCTGGATTGTATTATTGTAATGCACAATACGCTGGGAGTGTGTCCACATTTATCTACCAGAATCTCACAATTTTAGGCTAGTATTTCGTCGCGAGACGCATTCATCGTTTGTAGATTTTCGTCATTTTATTATGTAGTTTATTTAGTTAAAAGAAAATGGTAATATTTTAAAAATAGCTTTTACTTTGTACTATTGTATTTACCTAGATTAAACATTTTTATAAATAATTTATTAGAACATCAGATTACAAGAAAATATTATTTTTCATTAATTTTCAATCTTCGTGATCAGTCAATAAGATAAATCTGTTTGTAAAAATAATTATTTGCTTATTGTTCCTACAATGGAACAAATAAATTTTGCTAATATATTTTAAAACCTCAACAGGCAGATTGGTTCCTGTGTTGATGACGTTAACCCCCCAGAATGCCAAGGGACGGGGCCCATATGATTCAGTCAATCCCGCAGGGTCCAATGTTACTTTGACATGTAACGTCACTGCAAGTATCGTTATTGTTTTGTTTATAACAAAAGTATAACCTAAATGTTGTGAAACTATACGTGCAAAATGACAGGGCTTAAAGTTGTGCAACAGTGTGTCAAACAATAAGGTGTGTGCTATATTTAATGAAGTATTCTTAGGTAAACAATGTCATTCGGGTCTCTGAGTGGTAGATTTGTTGTATAAAAAATATATATATCCCATTCTTGAGTTGTTTTTGTTTTGAGGAAACAGAATTAGATTACTTTTCCTTTCTGGTAAAAGAAAGTCGCTCAAATGTTGAAAGGAAACTAAAATATTTGATAAAATACTAATATGAATGTTTATCAACATAACTGAAATGGCACTTAAGTTATCGTGTTTACAGGAAGAAAGACATTTAGAAATGCAGAGAAATATTTCCAAAACTGCGTTTTTTTTCAGACTCTAGGAGTTATTAAACTTCGAGATTTGTCAAAATTTCAATTGTTTTTGCGATTAATATAATTTTTCTATACTCCACATAAGAGAAAGTAAAAAACTATCTCGCATCTCAGGCTAAAAAATAGTGCTAAACCTAGATCCGTTGAACTTAGACCGTCTGACAATCAGAATATGCAACACGTATACCAGACGTTGTCACATTCAGTTTTAGACCTGGCTGAAATTTCAGGTCATAGATGTTTGAGTTACACTCATCACCTGTTTGCACTAGCACCTAAGAACAAACGGAGAGACAAGGGGAACAGTGCATGCGTTAAAAACCTGATGAAAAAAAAACTTCGAACGCCTTTTCGCCAGCAGAAGTTTTTACATACGAAGAAATACAGAAGAAGCTCCTAGTCTTACCTACATTTCTAATATCTGAACATTGGCTGAAGCGTATAAACTCAACAATGTAATGTTGCTTTGTATTTGTTATTTTCTTATGTAGGTCTGTATTATTGCAGGGACCGAGAAACTTAACCTTTCAATGGAAGTTTGGCAGCAGGTTAAGTAACTTTAGTAGCTTTACGTCATATCCTGTACAAAACGCTGTATTCGTTTCTGAACCTGTGTTCGACAGTACTGTTTTACCCTGTGTCCAGTATTTTCATTCGTCAACTCTGAGGTTTCAAACAGAAGACAAATATGATGGCTACATGTATGTGTGTGTGGCTTCAGAAAACAACAGAGACATAGTTGTTGGGAATATGACTATATACTCTAAACCGGTAACTTGTTGTCCTTGCAATTGGATTGGTATTATAGTTCAATCATAATGCTTTTATTTTAAGAAATCAGTGCACTAAAATTTTACTTCATATCAGTGCATAGAGGAGTATCGCACTGTTTACTTCATTCGTTTAATCTTGCGATATTAAACACCTACACACAATGTAAAAAATTCAGTAATACTGCTTTTGAATTTATTTTGTATGTAATTTATATACTTCCTGTTATGATACAAATCAGGTTTTAAAAATAATATTGATTTTAATAATTTTTCAGTGACATCTGCGACACTGCTGAAAACTGTATGACACCAAATACATAGTTGTTATATTAATTTTTCGATAACTCCTAAATGATGTTTTAATCATATTTATTATTGATTAAACCACATTTATCATCAACTGTCTTTGTACTTTTGTGTTGCGCTCAACGATAATAGTTTCTATGAAAACAACACAAACAAAGATGATTTCTTTTGCGGAAAAGAATATTGTAAAACAGGTCCAAATAAGGGACACATTTTATGTTAATAAGGAAAGAAGGTAAATGTAAATAAGAAGGGAGTCATTTTCCCTTAACTGCAGAGTATATTTTTATATATGAGGTGATGGCACTTCATTGCTATCGGGGTTTAGAAATGATTTTTATGAATATTTTTTTTAGTAATAAATTAGAATTAGATTAGGAAAAAGAATTTCGCATCAATAGAGGACAATTTGATACATTTAAAGAAAAACAATTAATTAAACATCTAATTATGCCACGTTTTATGTCTCTGTAGAACCTAACTCTCAGAAACGTTAAAGAGTTGGTACTTCTCTATTGTTAGTAAATATTATCCAAGCCACGGTTACCTAATCAATAGATCGTGGCTACACATAGTGTTGCGAAGAGTTTGCAGGGATTGCTGACTTGTTGTCTAAACCAAACACTTTTTAAAAAAAAATGTCTGTTGTTAACGAGTCACTTAACTTTTATAAAAAAGGGGTCGCTACTTAAAAAAAGATTGGGAATCTGCGATCTAAGCGATCTGATTTCTAACAATAGGGCTTTTAAGTCTCGATATGTGTCGCTTCAAATTCAATGTCTCATTAGCCATGGAGAGATATACATTTTCTAGTTAAATTAATTTTTTAGACATGACTCCCATCGATAAAAAAAACAGCTGTTTGTTTCAAGGCTTCAATTGAGGAATTTAAGAAAGACAATGCGAATTTCGTGACCTACTTTCAAGCTCTATTGCGTACAGAATAAAAAGTGTCTAGCGGAGATCGAAGAGTCGTGTTTTAAACACACGGTCTATTATTGTACTGTCTATTTCTTCATGGAAGTCATACATGAATGTCCTAAAGGAACTGAAAGGTAGTTGCAGTCAAAGAACAGGGATTTATTTGACGTCATATGTGTTTATAAGGGGTTTAGGGGGCTTAGCGTGATATTGATTTGTATTGTGCAGAGCAGCCGACAGACCTTTTTGAGCTGAAACGGTGTTAGGATAACATTGTTACTTTTGTAATTGTCAAGTAATAAGAAACTATGTAAAATGCTAAGAGTTTTATATTGAATACTTATGCAGTAAAAAAAAATCTGTTTAAGATGGTAACACAATAATGGGAATGGGTATGGGTATAAGTATAGGTATAAGTAATGATGTAGGTATAGGTGTAGGTAAAGTTGTAGGTGTAGGTGTAGGTGTAGGTGTAGGTGTAGGTGTAGGTGTAGGTGTAGGTGTAGGTGTAGGTGTAGGTGTAGGTGTAGGTGCAGGTGTAGGTGCAGGTGCAGGTGCAGGTGCAGGTTCAGGTGCAGGTTCAGGTACATGTACATGTACATGTACATGTACATGTACATGTACAGGTTCAGGTACAGGTACAGGTACAGG